TGGTCCAAGGCAGCTGTGGCTCGATCTGCTTCAAGAAGCAATTGACCAGGCAGCAAACTGCCTGGTGTCGCTCCGTTTGCCTACGCAGGCCGGTATATGCCCTGTGACCATAGGCACCAGCACTGAACACCATCTGAGGCTTGTTTGACATCCGCCGGCAGCGCGTTCAAACGGTGGCCAGTTGATCACCTCACGAATGGCCGTCCAGTACGACCCACTTCCCTCAGCAATGAAGTCTCTGGCCCTGTCCTCGGCATCACTACCCGGAGGTTCGGGATCTTCTGGCATTGTGGGGAAGCTATCGGCCACCATGCCAGGCAGTTGCATGCTGAGTAGAGTGGCATACTCGTTCAAGGCATTAAACAGCTCCGTATAGAGTGTCTCCTGAGCATACCTCATGAAATCATGCCGTGACCACATGGAAGAGGCCGGCGGCAACGGGGCAGTGCTCAGCTCTTTCTGCAGGCTCTTGATAGCACTCAACAGTAGATATTCTTCGAGGGCTATGTGATACCATTATACCGCGGCAGTGCTAGCTCACGCGCCATCACTATAGAAGGGTGGGCCTGCAGACGATGACCAAGGGCCGATGACGGAGCTGCAAGGCGGAGTCATGCAGGAATCGGTATGGCTTGCTCCGAACATGTACGGACACTGCCCTGCCTAAGTCCAACAGCAATGCAACGAAGCACCATTGAGGTCGGATTCTTTGCAAACACCAGTGAATCTATATATGAATACGTGCCCGTGTGTGCAGGTGTGTCCATATTTATGACATCTTGCGACCCCAGCAGCATCGTCTTGCGTAGCCAACGAACAGGCATTCATGTTGCTGATGCATTGCAGAAACACAGGTTCGCCGAGATAGCCGTTCCCCTGTCATCGCTGAGCGTGGCCAACATCTCGTTGCACGGCACGTCGGGATCGATGGTGACACGGCAGAAGGCTGCCCACTTGCTATCATTGAAGCTTGGCAACGTGCCGTCTACACAGCCATCGGCCTTCCTCGAGCTGAGATTTTCGATCTGGAGCACGGACTTCCTTCGGATCGGCAGCTTCCAGAACTCCTCCCCCCACATGCTGATGATCATCGCCTGGCCAGACGCGTCCTTCACCCAGATCTTCCTCCATTTCGTCGCGCTTTTCACGTGGGGCTCCTTGATGCTCGTGACGAGAACCACGAGATCAGCTTTCTGCTTGTGGATGGCATGCTCGACGAGGTCGCCGATGCAAGATCGTTCAGCCGGACATCGTTAAGCTGCATGGCTCCTCCACTTTTTCACGACCTCCACTGCGACACGCCGTTCCCACCGTCCGGGCTGCGATGTTCGAACTTTCCGAAACAGACCAAAACTACATCGACACACACACGATGACCCGGGAAACACAGCGTGCGCACCTCCTCGTCTTGAATGGCTCAAATGCACAACACACAGGATCCCCGCAGAAGGGTCCCCAATTCGAGCCCACAGATCAGCATGAAAGCTCAATACCAAAACATCCTAACTCACGATACAGCGTTTTTTTACGGCGCGCGCACCTCCTACCGTTAAACTTAAAACGCTCCAAAACGCAACACGCAGAATACCCGCACGGGCCCACGTAATTCGCAGGTCCTCCCAACCCCCCGAAGTCGCTCGCACCTCGCAAATACCGATGAATCCTGAAAACGACATCCGCAAAACACCGTTTCCACCGAAGGTCCGGTGCATTTCGGCTACCACCACCAAAAACGTTCCCCAAACTACTGGCGCGATTTTCACGCAAAAAGCCAAAAACGAGCACCACACGCAGGCAAAACATCAATTTTTGCGTACCCGATAGCATCACATCATGAAAGAAGGAGAGCTCGCCCCCGTAGGGGTTGCAAACTCCAAAAACCCTCCCGAAACGAAAGTGCCTCGGACATCGTTTTTACGATGGATCCTGATTCGCGAACGGAGGTAGTGGCAACCGCCCACACCGCCAGCCAACCGACATGCACGATCCATCGTTTTTTGCGAGAGAACGTGATAAGAAAAAACGCAGGATCCCTCGTAAAAAACGATACGCGAGTCACTTTTTGGAAGGTCAAAGTGCGCGAAACATCGCGCACACCGACATCCACAGGCCGCGGGACACGCTCCCCCTCGGTCCACTCCCGCTTAATAATAGATTACTTTAATTTCGTTTATATAAATCTATACTAGCGGATACTGTACTTTATATTTGTTTATACATATCTATACTAATCGATACTAGTTCACACAAACTTAGAACTAGTTTTTATAAGAATCTATATAATTTATACTATGACCGATAGTCGAATCGATACATTCGACGAAGACCGCCATATAAGAACCCTTCGCCGACGCTTTCGGGAATGATAATAGCAGCAGTAGCAAACAGAGTGGTATCGGTGGTGATCGTTTTGCTCCACGTAAGCTGCCAAGGGCTCCTCAGGGCTCCCGCTGCATTCTCTGTGCGACAGTTGGGATTGCACCCCAATACTTCCATCTATAGTCATGGACGAGAGATGCCGGTCCTTTTGGAAGTCGTTGGTGGGGACTCCAAAACAAGATAGAATGCTGGACTCTGTGTAGACTCACTAATCATTGGTCATCGATGCGAGCCGGGGCCGACGAACCCTTGAACCAAAAACATCAGCACCTTCGAATCCTGCGGCTTGCTGAAGCTCAAAAACCTAGGTTCCAGGACGGAGAACGAGACTCTCAAGTCACCAAACAGAATCTTGCTCGACCTTTGTTGCCAGAGCCCAAGCGAGCCCGGAGCTCCAAATCCAGACTGATTGAAGCGAAGCCTTCAAGCGGGGTTGCTGTTTAGCACGAAGCATATCAGGCCAGTTGGTCTTAACAGAAAAAACCGAGAATCGCTCGTTGCTCTTGCGCCCACAAGTTTTGGGAATCTAGAACTGCTGGTTGGTCGCAGATGTTGCGGGAAATCTAAGCTCTGGATGCGTTGCCCGGGAATCGAAGACACTTCTAGAGCAGCCTTTCCACCACAGCAAAGACGCGCTTGAAACACAAATCCAAGCGGCAACTGTAAGTAAGCTTCTGCCCGAAGTCTTACAAACGCAGTAGCCCGCATTTTGGGCCCTGACTTCCCCAGAACAGGGCTGGGGTACATGTTTCACCTCGTTTGTTGTAGGAGTGGCACTTCTAACGCTCCACTTTGGTGCTACAATGATTTGCCTTAACTACATGCTAGCAGCACGGGCCTGAGTGTTCAGTCCAGTTTCAATCGCTCTGGCACCCTGCTCCGACCTTTGAGTTGAAGACTTATATTTGAAGCAAATCCAAAATCGATTGCCAGCCACGCAGCTTTCATCCTCGTGGCGATGCAGAGGACTTGGCGGACTCGCCGGGCTTCCCAACAAGCTGTCCGGCTCTTGTTGTTTACTGGTCTTTTTAGTAATGATGGTGGGGAAGGGGTTGCGGACTGTTTGCCACTGGGTGTGTGTGTGTGAGTATGTATGTGTTGTAGGGTTTCACAAGCAAGAATGTAACCATTGGCCATCACAGTGGCGAGCCGCCATCGCAAGGCATCACAGTTTTCTGAATTGTTGTTGGCCTGGCTGCCTTGTCGCAGCTTGAGCAAGATGTTGGTGCTACGAACCCGCTGCCCCAATGCTAAATAAAGGGCTTGTGACTCTAGCAAGTTGTCTTGCAAACTGCAAAGACTACTACGAGACTCGCGGTGATCTGGGTCCAGTCTAATCATCTAGCCGATAAGTGCAAACGGCACAAGTCTGCATGACTTCAGCAGAAGCTTAATGCCTACTGCTGATACAGTATTCAGCATACTGCAGCTGCTTCGAGTCCTAATGCCACGGCTCGTCCTGTGACATTGCCACAGTAGAACCCAAACCCACTGCCACCACTATAATGACACAGAACAAGACTAGCTTTTGTTCCGACCCCTGACTTATCACATCTTACCCCGGTTGAGTTTTCATATGGAAAAACTATTATCGATACCAATTCAGACACCTGAAACTTAATTTCCAAACGTCCTCGGAACCAGCGAACACTGCGTAACTGGTCGCTGTCTACTGCTCGCGACTTTCGAGGACTTGGCGCTGTTCTTGCCGCAAGATCAAGTGATAGTCATTACTGTTCCCGTGTGTGGCTCCACGGCCGCCTCAGGGGTGCCGACTACTAAGATGCATACTCAAAACGAACACAAAACGATCTCTGACAGTCGTCGTCATCGTACTAGTTGTCGTCGTCTTCGTAGAAGTAGTCGCCGCTGTCGTGGTCGCAGAGGTGGCGGCAACAGTAGCAGCAACAGGACAAGTAGTGCTTGTAGTAGTAGTAGCAGTAGTAGTAGTAGTAGTAGTAGTAGTAGTAGTAGTAGTCGTAGTCGTAGTCGTAGTCGTAGTCGTAGTAGTAGTAGTAGTAGTAGTAGTAGTAGTAGTAGTAGTAGTAGTAGTAGTAGTAGGAGTAGCAGAAGTAGTAGCAGCAGTAGCAGTAGCAGCAGCAGCAGCAGTAGCAGTAGTAGTAGTAGTAGTAGTAGTAGTAGAAGTAGTAGTAGTAGTAGTAGTAGTAGTAGTAGTAGTAGTAGTAGAAGTAGCAGAAGTAGTAGCAGCAGTAGCAGTAGCAGCAGCAGTAGCAGTAGTAGTAGTCGTCGTCGTGGTGGACGAGGTAAGCACTAGTAGTCGTGGTGGTGGTGGTGGTGGTGGTGGTGGTGGTGGTGGTGGTGGTGGTGGTGGTGGTGGTGGTGGTGGTGCTGGTCACCAACTACCACCACTACTACTACTACTACTACTACTACTACTACTACTACTACTACTACTACTACTACCACTACCTGGTAGTGGGGGAGTCTAGCCCTATTCGTAGTACTAGAACTCGTGTCATTTTTTCTTTCAGCAATCGCAGCGGTAATTGCAGCGGTAGCAGTCGTAGCAGTAGTAGTAACAGCAGTGGCAGTGGCAGTGATACACACAGTATGAGCCGGTTGTAACTGCTTTTGTCACTTGTTGCTTTGCAGAAGACGCCGTATGAAGACGATGCCCAGCTGGTTTCGCAGGCTGCGCGGTGACTTGAGGATCCTCTTTTTCTGGTCGAGGTTACCGGGCAGCGAAGCGCAATCAGACTTGTGATCCCTCCACTGCACCACAGCATTTTCGTTAGAATCTACGATGACATGTGCACGCTTATCTTGACATTGCATGTCGCTTTGACCTACAAGTGAGGCGATGTGTATGTCGATGTTAATACTAGCAGTTTATCGTGGTCTCAGGACCTGAATGTGCCTACAAACTTCCCACGGTTCACGTGACGACTTGTCCCATTGCTGTCCCCGGATTTTTCCACAACTGTTGTCCTAAATCTGAGAATATACACAGCTTGATATAAAATTAAGCAGTAGTCAGCATGACTTCGGAATTTGCTGCCGCAGGTGTGATCATTACACTT